CAAACCCACTGAAAAAATAACCTGATCGATCATAATTAGCGCAGTCATAGTTATGATTGTAGTGACAAACTAGTTTAACTTTGTTTAGTGCTCATTGGTTTTAAGCTACAGGTGTGTGTGACACCAACCTGTAAATACTGTCATTTTGTAAAAAATAGGGACTTCTTCCTCATGGGGTGTAAATTGTTTGCTTGGCAGGTAGGTAATGATGATCTAGACACCTAAACACTACTGAATTTCTACAAATCAAGTCCTATGTCACGTCTTATTCGGTTTTCCCCATGTTTTTAAACCTCTACCATCTTTTTTTAATCTCCCCTTTGTTACTTTCTTTTAAATCTTTAAAGTTAGACCTCAAACCATGCAGATATAGTACAGGTTTTTAGGTATAAGCTTTTTGGGACTTAGCATATTGTTGCAAATGTATTTATTATTTTTCTTCAGGTTTTTTAAATGAAGCAATTAATGAAATTCAAATTAATTTATTTTAAAATGAGAAGAAATTAGAAGAAAAAAGCATGTCCATTATTGCGTATGACCACCTTTGAAGATCACCAGAAATTCTGGTCCTTTGGAAGCAAGTAAAAAGATTGGAGGTCGCTTTGGCCTTTTTTAAAGTCGCGATCAACTTTCCCAAGCTACATGTATCAAAACTACCCAAACTGATGGACGATAGAGCTATAAAAGCTGTTGTGTGCTGATATTGTGGAAAAATAAGACAAAAAAAACTTTCGGAACATTTTCTGCTCCCGTGCTTACAGTACCTGTTAAGCCTAAAACCCTCGAGGGCCTCTTTCTATATTACACCCTAAATCTTGGCCTCTGTTTCTTATCATCTGTGTGAAGTAAAGGAAGGACTCTGAGCACACATTTAGAATGGAGGTGTGTGTATCTGGGCCAGATGGAGATCGGTCTTTTCCAATATCCAACTCCTTTTGTCCACATAGCTTTGGCTCCCCTTATCTGGCTACTGTTTATCTAATGAAAAATAATTATATCTGGGTTGTAAATGAGTCTGACACGCCTCATTGTTGTTGTGCTCAGGTGAGTAGTCATACTGAGCCAATATGGACAGTTTGTTAGCATCAATGGATATTTGCGTTTTGTACATTCGCCTTGCTCCTCAAATCAATGACAACTAAGAAAGAGCATTTCCTCCTGATAGGAAGCATGAACCACTTGTGCCTGATATCCCCTCATGCATTCATGTGATTTAGATCATGAGGAAAAACAGAAACACCTCCCCCTTTGGTGGCTGAGGTCCAATATCAGCAAATGAAAACAGTAGTTCATTACATCAGCAGTACCAATAAAATCGTACATTTGACTTACTGGAAACTAAAACAAAAGTTACCACAGTGCTACCCTAACTACACAAACAGTGACGTATTAATATTTGAAATGCAAAAATGTCTTTTTAAACAGAATTCACATTAGCTGAACAGAGTCATTCAGGATACAGTTCTGGGTATGAAACGCTCTTCAGCAGCTTTGTCTGCTCCACAGGCAAAGCACACCAAATGAAAAGCATTCATTACATCTTAGATAATAAATTACTTGCAGTCATTTTTGAGCCAATGTGGCAAACATATCTGGGTCCAGATTTTTTACTGTTAACATTGTAGCGTTCTGGAAAATGTTCCTGCACTATGAGATGGAATTTGAAGATGTAAATGTTTGGTTTGGTCAAGTTAACAGTACTCACTACCCACCTCCCCTTAGCTTTCATTTTTCTAAATAAACCAGACTTCCATGCTATCTTCAAGAATAAGTTCAGTCCCAGAGTTATTAGCCAAAGGCGTTTTTGGTGCAATGGTTGGTGTTATGTTTGTTCCTTTTTTGTGGGAACTATGCAGGTGGAAGACAAAAGATCAAGGTCTCAAACTGATATCAGGATGAAACATGGAAAAAAACAATAGAAGCATGAGATATGACCTATAAGACACATCTGGTCCTCCAGTTTATCCATTTTCAGTTCAATGATTTCTCATCATTGGTTTCCTCGGAAGGTTAAGAACATATACTTGAAGAAAACAACCAGAGAGAAAGGACTCTAGTATGCATAATGACACAAAAACTGTAATGAAAATCAATGGAAACTGGTTTTATGAAGGGATTAATCTTTTACCAAACACTATTGAAGCATGTCTGGAAAATCAATGCAGAATTCAGCTAAAGATAGCCACCACCCAAGTAAGATATGTGGAATGTCCCTCCATCCTGTTGTCTCTTGAATAGTGTCAGTTTGGTTCCTGATAATGTTGAATATATCTATTTCCTGTGATAATTCTCAAATCCTGTAGATTTGTAAAGATTCTCTGATTTTGATGGATCCTTGATTGAATCAATTAAGAATCCGATAAATTCCAGAACCTAATCGCATATACACAAAACCATTACTTGAAAAAAGTATTTAATTTATAAAACGTTACAGTCCTGATGCAAAAGTCATTACATTCATAGTTGTGAAGGTGGAAAGTTTTAAAGGCCGAAAAACTAAGTAAAAGCTTGTCATTTTTGCACAAGTTGACGATCGGAGTAAGCATCTAATATGAGAAATAATCTCCAAAAATCTTAAGCATAAATCAAATGTTCATAAAATTCAAGGCACATCTCTGAGGAGGCTCAGAAGATATTCAATGTGCTCCAATGGTGTGACCTTGGTTTATCCAAAGACAACAAGTACTGTATTGTGTTTGATTAAGTGTAAGACGATACTGTGGTGTCATGGGAAACACTTAATGGGAATCACCTTGATGTTTCACAGTCAGATGAGAGGGGGAGGATGAGACAGTATCTACGGGTTTGGGACCAGCCTAAAAGACAGATATTATTGAAACATCTTGTGAAATGGAACAACAACTGGGACTGCTAGCTTTGGAAGGGTTGCTGGGTATCCAGCGGGGATGCTCGTAACTTTTATCGTTTTTCACTAGAAACAATGGCTCCTTCCCAGTTCACAGTGTATTAAAATGATCCGCTTTCTGACAACACATGTATCAGTTGCATCCTTGGGCCCTCCTGCTGCGACTCAACCGGTCGACCGGCCCGCGGGTTATCCAGATGAGGGATATTGTTGTTACTTTGTAAGGAATCTTGGTGCTTTGGTTAGACACCTGACAGGGGAGTATCTATCCTCCATCTGCCATCCCTACCCTTCCTGCTGCCAATTTGTTTCGAAGACACTCCCCTTTTGCTTACGAGTCAGTGGTGTGAGATGCAGCTCCACCTTCTTTTTGCCATCCGGCCAATGGGAAACCTACGAATATATGTAAATTATGAGGAGATGCGAGGACGTGGATGACAGAGCAGGGCACTGGTGTCACTTTGTCACCTGAGTCTCATGGGTATGTATCTTTTTCATCATGAGGGCTGCCGGAGATGGAGAATTAGTTTTTATATTCTCCATTCGCCCTTAGTGTGGAGGAAAATACGGTCTTAATAAATCCTCAAACACAAGTTTAAAAAAAAGGTTGAGGACACAAGGCCTTGTCCAGGTGTGATGGGCGTGTAGCCCATGTTGGAATGTGGAAGCAGGTCCTGACTGACAGCATGCCACAGCTATCTGTCAACAAGACCTGTTTCAGACATTTCGCTCAAGAAAAAACACACTTGGGCTTTTTTTTAAAACTGATTTTTTTCAAAGGGGATTTGAATACAAGTCTTCTTTGTCCAACAGTTTGACTTCGTCTCTGCCTCCAAATGGCACACTTAGAGACAGATGTTTTAAGTTATGTGATAAACAAAGAAGTGAGTCAAAATGAGTCAGAGTCTCGCTGTAAACTCCAGTAATCCTTGTCTTGCTGCTGCTGCTAATCTTACCTCCTGTCTTTTGTGTCTCTTTAAGTTTTTCCTGTTCCAAACAATCCACTTTTCTACTTGTGTGAAGATGGCTGATGGTGATGGAAAAATGTATTCTATCAGAACCACTTAAACTTCTCTCTGTGCACCAAATTAAGCACAGCTGGTAGTTCTACTTCACAGAGAAAGAAGAAACACCATGAGACATAAATTATGTATGAAATTTATTAGATTACATAGACAATGCTATCTGGTTGTCCGCTATTCGGGTGGGTGACAGGCAATCTTACAAATTGCTGAACTGAATGGCCTCAAACCTTAAAAGTAAAAGTGAAATGTCCTAAACTTTTAATGTTCTTGTTAAAATAAGACTAGCAGGCAACCCCCCCATCTATCCTAGGCTCCATAGGCTGGAGCCTATCCCAGCTGACAACAGGCAAGACGCAGGTTACACCATGGACTATGGGGAAAGCGTTTTTTTAGATATAAGAAAGAGCATGTAATTTCTCTTTGAGCAGATCTGCGAAGGCAGAGTAGAAGGATGTGAGTTTCAAGGGAATTAGTTTAACCACCCATCATCTCTGTGAGTGTACGTTCATTATGTTGTTTAAGAGGAGTAATGGCATTGTTTCTAGGCAACCGAGGGATAAACACTCTGTAAGAACATCCATGGTAATTAGTCTTAAAATAATTAGCTCAGTCTGTAGAACGGGATGTCTTCTCTGTGTCTGTTTGAAGCTACTGGATAAGTTTAAAGAGAATTATCATTGAAATATGCATACAATTTAAACAAATAAAGATTTTTTAAAAGCAAGTCTATTGATTCATCAAATTTTCCTATACTAAATGGAAATATACCACGTAAGATACACAAAAGGTCTATGCAATTCTAATAGCATCCAGTAACTTACTCCTGAGAAGAGACATCTTCGGGATTATGTTTATGTTATGCACTTATTATGTGTTTATGTGACATCCTGCCACTAACAAAGTAAATTTGCAAGTAAACTTTGCTAAAACATACATTCGACACTGGTTCATCCCTTGAGTTAGGTGCCTTTTAAATGCTAGAATAGTTTGTGGTTAAAACAAAACTAACAAACTCAGACCTCAGAGCTCTTTTTTTCCATATTTGAAATCCTAGCTGAATTCAACTATTATAGTATCACAGTACTTTCATAAGCAAAGAGAGAAAAAGGTGATATTTTAAACTCTTTTATTAAAACAAAAAAAGATCTGCTCAAACGAAAATGAACAAATACATTTGCATTTACAGCTGGACAGATGTGCATTAGCTGTACAAATCTTTTCATACATTCCACATTTAAGGAGCACACCATGCCTTGTGAAGGAAGTGTTCCTTGATCCCATAATTAAAACAAAATGTCACAGGAACAGAACACAGGATGAAAAATAACTTATCTGAGTGACAAATAAAACAAAACAAAACTTCATAAGGAACAAAGAGTTTCTTCAGTCTCACTGGAACACAAGGAACAGTAAAGTAAAGTACAGAGCAGGTGTTTCAAAGTTTTGACATAAGTTAAATAACAGCTGCACAATGCAAAATAAAACATCTCTGTGTTTGATGCTAACATATATAGTAAGTGTATTTTTACTTACAGCCAAAAACCTTCCAAAAATAAATAAACTATCACATTTACACATTTCTTGATTAAATTTACAACTGTAGCACAAACTTAAAATCAAAGTGAAACAAGAAGAATCTTCCTTTCTTTTTGTTTTGTGTTTTTTTTTTACAAACTATTTACAGAAAATATCTACAGTGTAGCACTAGTCTTCACTCCAAAACTCCAGCAAATTCTTCACTTTGGTTAACATCAGAAAACAGCAGCTTCTTCATATAGCATGTAAACCACTTGTGACTCCGCACACTTCTTTGCAGATTGGACAAAATAAAAAACATTGACAGATTAAGTAGACCAATAAATAAATGACCCTGTCTCCCGGATGTGAAAAGGCCACAGTATGAAGATGCGAAGGGCATGTCTGTCTGGGCTTTGGAAGGCACAGGGATCAATAAGGCATTTACTCCCGGTGCACACAGTAAACTTTGCCAAACAATGTGAGTAAAGGCACACATGAGTTACTAAGACAGTACAGCTCTGGATTTTCAGGTTTAACTGGTAGTACAATGCGTGTCAAGTAATCAAAGTTTTATATTTATGCGTTTAGCTGATGCTTTTATCCAAAGCAATACCCCCCCGCTATTGTAATCAGTACAATAAGGAGACAGTCGTACCTTACCAAGGACATTTAAATAGATCATTTTCAGATAGTGGAAATAGTGGATAGTTGGAAACAATTATGTGGTCTGACATAATAGCACGTTGTACTTAAGCTTAATTTTCCGTTGCTCCGATTTGGACGGCACAGTGCTGAGGTCGGAAACTTCAACCGCAAAATCAGGTGACTAGAGGAGAGCGTGGGATTGTAAAGAAGTAGGCCGTGTTTCCCCCGTGGTGGAAAGAAACCAAAAACAAAAACTAATGGGGGAAACTAGTGTCTTCTTGATTTTTAGGTCATGCAACGTCCATGTCATCCATGCACACCATTTGCCTCTGTAAAGAAAGTAACACAGAGTCAGCCAAGCTGAAAGAACACAGGAGGGTGAACGTTCAGTGGCGGGAAAGCAACGCTACCTGTGGATAAACATAGCCATCAGAGCTGTTCCTACAGATGTGCACCTCATCCTCGGTGGTTTTCTGATACACAGGATTGACGAAGTGGATGGTATTGGTGTTCTTTGTGTGCCAGTGTCTCCATAGAAACACGCCTCCAAACGCCAGCAGGGCTATGACCACTGTAGAAGAGGAAAGCAGTTAAAGGCTATTTTGCTGGGATAGGTGAGGGTGACAAAACGTTTATATGCGAGAAAGCATGAGAAACCTTTAGGCCTAAAAAATTTAGGGCTAAACAGCAGAACTTACTGAGGGGCACGACAATGTAGAGAGCAACTGGATGGGATGAAGGGGCATCCTCAGGGATTCCTGCTTGTCTGCTACCTGAAAATAGCAATTCAAATGTTTTCTTTAAATACATCCTTCAATTACCACATATGCTGTCAATCACCTGAAAAGTAAACCCTATATTATAAAGATATTGTTGCTAAATATACTGAGTCATGGACTTTACTTCCTTTTCAACCTTATGCTTATAGATTTGTAAGTCCTGGTAATCACAGTTCAATTGGATCTTATATATGAATCAGAATTGTTTACATAAAATGTTACAATCTATTAGTTAAAAAACTAATAACTGAAAACATTATTTACTAATGATAGCATTATAGGATATCACTTTGTTGTTTTCATAATTAATTTGTGGTGCTTAAGGTCCTTTCTTTATTTGATTTACTATTCATATTGTTCTAAAGGGTATGGAAATGCTTCCAGTACCTTGAGCTGTGGCGACAGGCTTCTGAGGACCCTGGGTAGAGGAGTTAACTGTGTCTTTTTTAGTATCTAAAGTTGTGGTTGCAGTTGTCGAAGCTGTTGTCGTGGCTTTTGTAGTTGTAGGGATGGGCTGTTTGGTGGTCGTTTGTGATGGGAGTTGTGCGTCAGTCCTATTTTTGGCAGTAGGGAATGCTGAACCTTTAGGAAAAAGGCACATATTCAGGTTACTCCCAGGAACTGATGCTAAAGCTTGATTTCTGTTCAAAACATGTGCAGCAGACAATTAATTACCGGTCACACATTTCCTCATGTCTGGGGCTGTGGACATGTTGTCCGGGCAGGCACACGTGTATTTCGGGGAGCCCTGGTTGACCACAGGAGCAGGAAGACACAGATACTCGCAACCTCCGTTCATAGCGTTGCCCTCTTTGCACCAGTTCTTGCCTAAAAATACAAGACATGAATATCCTTAGAAAAGGAGACTCCCCAGGAGCAGAGCTGATGCCATCTGTTTAATGTAGATCTGTAATTACCAACTGGCTGCTTGAGTTTGTGGTAAAGCAAAATATCCTTTGGCTGTTCAAGATCAGTTGCCAACTCAGTGATGTCTTTTCCTGTCGAGCGGCTGGCGCTGAAAACGGCACCGTTGTTCGTGTCAGTCCAAAACACTTTGTCCTGTTTGAACAAAGCAGGGCACGTCAGCAAAATACTGAAAAAGTTGGCCATCATTTAAGAATAAAAGCACCATCAGTGGTATTTCATATAAAAGACAAGCACTAAACAGTTGTCTTTAAATCTGGATAACTACCAAAGGAATGGATTGCAGACCAACTAAAACACACGGTTTTTAACAACCTGAAATAACACAGAACCATCACAATCACAACTATTAGCTGGTGGTTTTTACACTAACATGCCCAGAACCTGTTTCTTTCACACTAACCACATCGACTTCATCACTAACCTCAAAGACAGCGAGCGAGACAGGGTGGGAGAGTTTTTCAGCGCTGAATATGATATTATGCCGGCTCCCTCCGTTCACATCAATGCTGGAGAGTGTGTGCAGTTTGGAGTCCACCCAGTACAGACGCTGGTTGACCATGTCTGTCCAGAGCACACAAATACGCTCTTTATGGCTCAAAACACAGCAAATTGAAACAGTTTCCATGAGATCATGTGTGGACTCGTGCTTACCAAGGGTGATGCCATTGGGCCATGCAATGTTGTCTGTTACCAAGGTGAAGCGGTCAGCTCCATTGAGCCCACTCTTCTCAATCTTAGCTTCCTCTCCCCAGTCTGTCCAGTACATGAAGCTAAAGGAGGAAACAGAAAAATGAATGAAAATGTCTGAATGCTGTATAAAAGTTTTTCTTTCTAATTACGACAAAAAAGCAGTTTATTTGTTGGAATGTTTGCTTACTTATTAACTGGATCTACTGTGATGGCTCTTGGCTTATCTAGTCCCTCAGCAACGAGGGTCTTCCTCTTACTTCCATCAGTTGTGGCCACAGAGATAGTCTTTAAAGTGCTGTCAGTCCAATAGATGTTGCCATGAATCCAGTCCACGGCTATGCCCTCTGGGGCCTCAATACCTTCTCCAATTACCACGCTATGGCTAGAGGACTTCCCTGCCTCATCTATCTTAGAGCTGTGGAGAAGGAAACAAAAGTGGACTGGTTCAATTTATGTTGATCTAGATGCCGATTGGAGAAATGTTTGTCCATACATGCAATTGGATAAAAGGCAGAGTTAAGGGAGGATTTACTTAACTTATTCGCTGCCAAAGACGTCTATAGACGTCTTTTCAAATCCAACCGCTGACTGCCAAAGACGTCTATAGACGTCTTTTATGTTTTTCAATGCGAGTGGCTTGGGGGACGATCGGCGAAAGTTTTTCCGTAAATATCGGCTTCTAGACAGAGTATGGACTAACAAATTTACCCTCTAGGTAGCTGTGCCACTTTTGATGGGAGATTAGCATAGATTGTAGGTAAATAAAAACAAACGCAATGGTTCGCTATGAGAGAAATGGCGCCGGTGAGACGCACGTCGAAGAAGAACGGAATGAGGTAGAAACAAAATCTTTTTTCCTGATGAAAGAAGAGAGTCTACTCTTTCTTTTGGTGTGTTCGGTGTTTACATAGTCATAGCACAAACTATTCTGTGGCTCTTGAAAAATCAGTCAAAATTCTCAAAAAACTCTGGCAGTGAGCGACTCTGTTCTGAAAATGGCTGGCAGTCAATGAGTTAATGGGTGAAAATTTAGGCTTATTTTTACCTGAAAATTTTCTTCAGAGACAGGTCAGACCAGAAAATAATTTGGTTTGGCATGTCCATGTCCAGAGCCACAGCGTTTTTCAGCTCTGGGATCAGCCGAACATACTCTCTGCGGTTGACTGTGATCTCCCTCACTTCGTGTCTGTTGGTAAAAAGCAAGGTGGGTACTGTGCCTGAAAAGAAAGAGAAGTAAAAAAAAGATCAGTTTAGGTTTCTATTGGGTGGTCAGACGGACAGAAAATGGTCTATAATGAGAAAAGAATCTAAATTGGAATATTCCAATAGTACCTGATTCGGCTTTGCAAGTGTTGGTCACAGGGTCAATCTGATAGCCACTCTCACAATCACACTTGTAGCTCCCGGGCAGATTGATGCAGATCTGACTGCAAGTGTCAGGCTCTGCGCATTCATCGTTGTCTGCAAGAGGATCAGAGGAATACATAAATTCACAGTGACAGTTCATAACATGTGCCTTCAAAACGCAATGACAATTCGGAACCATCTTTTCATTTGTGTGCAATTCACTGCCCAATAAATGTTTACCTATTGAAACATAAGACTCAGCAGGCTGCCGTCCTCACTAATTTTCCATATTGATATCACTGTAGTAACTCAGAGGGAGCACACCCTATTCTGAATCCAAACTGAGCATATTCCACTTTGCAATTCGTGCCACTCTGTGTCCCTATATCCAACAAACTGAACGTGATACTTCTTCTTACCTTCGCAGGTTTTCTGGTCGCTCTTGAGAATGTACCCAACAGGGCAGGAGCAGTTGTAACCAATCCTCAGGTCATGGCAGTGATGCGAGCAGCCTCCGTTTGCCGCTAAACACTCGTTTCTGCCTGTGGAGTACAAAGAGTTTTTAAAGGGTAATATGGCAACTCATTCCCAATGGCCACTGACAGCAAGGCGGCGGCTGTGAGGCTTTATGTGGTAAACATCACTCACCACACTGGCTGACAGGCTCATCTGACCAGTCACTGCAGTCCTTCTCCTGGTTGCACACTTTGTCCATGCGGATGCACTCCCCATTGAGACACTTGAACTTGTTTGGGCCCTCACATAGATTTTCTGCGGGGAAAGAAAAAAGAGGTGCTAAAGTTGCCACAGCTTTCAAAAAGAAAAATATCAAAATGTCTGAGATGCAATCAAGTGGGTGAATAAAAAATATAAATGAATAAAAAACTGTGGCCTGAGAGAGTCACCTGTGTGGCAGTCGGCCTCATCGCTGCCATCACTGCAGTCACGCACCGAGTCACACTGGAGCTTGCCATTGATACAGCTGCCGTCTTTGCACTGAAACTCATCTTGGCGGCAAATGGGGTGAGCTGGACAGAAGGAGAGAGAAAAAAGGAGGGAAAATGTGAAAAAAGGAACATGGAGAGGATAAAAATCTGACCTGATATGGTTTGCTTGGATAAAAAGTTCTATGCGATCAACTCAAATGAGTTTACAAATCAGGATGTGGGTTGTGTGACGCTCCAAGAAGCACAACTCACTGCAATTGCGCTCGTCTGATCGATCCTGGCAGTCTATGCCCCCATCGCACCGCCAGCTGCTGTGGATGCACTGCCCATTTGCGCACTCAAACTCGTGGACGCCACATCGGGTCGGCCTCCTCGCCGGCTCTCTCCCGACGCAGTTTTCCGGCCACTCGTCAGATCCGTCCAGGCAGTCCTTGTCGCCATCGCATTGCCATAGCAAAGGCACACACACCGTGTTGTTGCACTGGAAGGATCGGGAGCTACAGGTGGGCGTGGGGCAGGACGCCTCGTCCGAGCCGTCGGTACAGTCCCTGTCCTTGTCGCAAACAAAAAATGTGGATATGCACTGGCCGTTGGCACAACGAAACTCGCCGCTTTTGCATTGCTTTTCAGCTGTAAGGAAGACAAAGACGGAGAGGGAAGTGAATGCGAGGGTTAAAAACACCACAAGTTCTACACTATCTACAACAAATCGGTTCAAATAAGTCCTAACACCAAGCCTACATCATGACTGCATTTACCGAACTGAAACGGATTACAGATTCAAACTTAAATGAGCTAATGATTCATTAGTTTACACCTTCCCACATGGGATCAATAAATCTTATCTTAACTTAAACAAGAGTAATTGTTGCTGTACGCCGTCAGTTGTTCAATGATTAACTTTTCTCCGACTGTGGTGTTTGCCTAAGTTGTAACAGTTTCCTCTCCTTTGATAACGTGAATAAAGCCCCTTTCAGATGGGGAAGCTTACTGCAGTTTTTCTCATCAGCGCCGTTTGTGCAGTCAGCTTTGCCGTCACAGTGCCAGTCCTTCGGCACACACTGGTTCATGGGAGCCCCGCAGTTGAACTGTGAGTCTGCGCAGGTTTTGGCCGCTGAGGAGACAAACAAGGAGAACGATCTATTTCACGTCTGCACAGAGGGATACCTGTTTTGGCTCCAGTACCTGATGAGGTTTCAGTTTACCATCGGGCTACTACTGATGATTAGTGTGACATGAGCAAGTCGGGCGGTCATAGGATTTAGAAAAAAACAAAACACCTTTTCAAACTTTGATAATACCTTTTAAAACTTCATTTTAGCAATAGGTTTAGTCAAATTCCGTGCACAAATAATGATAAATGCATCGGACATGAATTAACGCTTAATATTCCTACCACAATAATAAGACAAAAGCCTTCTGTACTAAAGCTAACATACCGCATGTCTCGGGTAGTTCATCCGTTCCATCACCACAATCGTCGGTCCCGTCGCAAATCCACCTGCGGGTGACGCATCTCCCATTGCCACACCTGAACTGAGACGATGTGCACGAGGGGGCGGCATCTGTGGATGGTAAAGAAAAAAACAACTTAAAAACATGCGTGTGTACAACATAATACAATAGATAAAGGAAAGTGTGAGGACCACACTTTATGCTCTACTCGTTAGAGATTGCCACATGGAGTGAACCGTTTTTTTCAGGTTCCTGGTTTGATAGGCGCCGGGTAATAAAAAGCATTTGTGATGGGGAAATGCAGAAGTCGCATCTTACAAAAGCGGATGCAAAGACGTAGAGGCACGGAAGTGAACTTTGTCATGCTGGTGTTAACCAGCTACACATCCTCAGGCTTGAATGTTTAAAGTAGCAACATTGACGGTGGTTTATTTTGGGCCCGGAGGTCCTGCCCTGAGGAGATCACACCTCAGTGACTCCACCAGTCAAAGCAGCATCAAAGGACGAGTGGACCTACTGCAGGCCGGTCAGGCCGGTGTGTCATCCACCATCATTTCTTCCAACCCCTCCTGGGGCCCTGAGGCCTAGACACTGTCAAACTACCTCTTTAAGACAATAGCATGGGAGGAGCTGAACAATCACACCACCAGTTGCTGATTGGTCCCAGGGTGACATTCCTCGTAACAATATCCCCACAGTGACCTGACAGCAAGGGTGGAGACTCAAAACACAAGGAACTCGGTGGGAGTGTCTATGAGTGATGACACTTTAAAGAAGACCGGTCTGAGTGATGAAAATAATAGATGGGCTTCAGAGGATAGAGAAATCCGAAGCGGCCCACATTTTAACATTTAGGTTTTGCACCCAAAATTTGTCAGAAGAAAATGACAAGGGAGCAACTGTGTGGACCTAATTTCATGTTATCATTGTGAATATTGAGTTTAACAAAAAAATGCCTTTCTTCCTGTGTTGCTCATACTCGTGTGCTTTCTCAGCAACTCACTCCAACATGTTTCTGAGGAGGCCAGGAAGGGGATCCCCGGAATGGGATCTAGAGCAAGCCGCAGCTGTTCCCAGAAATGTGTAGTGATTCCACATGACTTTTCCCTATTTAGGACTCCGATAGTCAACACACACCAAGACCGGCGAGGAAAACTGGGCCAAATGTGGGCACTTCCTGATTTTCCAGCCCTGACACTGACTGGAAACTATGCGAGCCTTTGAGCCTTTAATTTTCCACTGTTAATCATCCCCAATTTCCATTTCCACATTCTGTCCTCTGACTCCCTAAAGACGGCTTATCACTCGAATGAAAAGACTGCGCCCATTTCCCCATGCTGATGGTGAAGAACATGGCAGTTGTTTTTGTTTTGGGAACATTTCCCACCCATTTCAATCTTATGCTACTTAGTTTCACGTGGAATCTTTCATGGATTATGTTTTGGGTACCGTTTCAAGGTCAAGAATCTGCTAAACCGTGTTTGCAACGTGGCATCAAAGTTTACAACTGACCAAGAATGCTCATTATCTGATGAGTTTAAAGAAACAAACAAAACAGAAAGCAGATTAAAACCCAATGACTGCAACTTGGATGACGAGTCTGACAAGAAAGTGGGGCAGAAGCTTGCTTCAGCGGCTTCTTCAGAGAAGATGCTTCTTACAGATATTTCCTGTGGCCTATAACCTGCAAGTAAGCCGGCAGACTATAAACGCTACCATGTAAGGCCATTTCCGCGCTGCCCCCAACATGTACATACCTCAGCTACAATTCAGCTCTACGTGTGTATTCAAACTGAGGCTTGTTTGACAGCAGATGCTCTTAAGAAGTTGGACAGGTTACCGCAAAGCCACATGAACACAATCCTCCCTTGTGACCACTGCTCACAAACAAAGCAATTCTGTCTTTTTATGGCACATGCACGCGATAGATACACAGCGAACCACCTCACAAAGAAGTGCCTTTATGTATTCTAGCACAAACACTGCAGTTAATAAATAACCAGGATGCAAGCTCACTGGAGGATGCTGCTGTACAGTGCAGTGAGTTGGCAAAATCAAGCATAGGGTCTGTCTAACCAACCTCGTTCAAGATCCTTCACCCATTTAGCGAGTAAAAAATTTCGGAGTGAGAAAACCAGTTTCCAGATGACTCCACACAATGGTTTTCACCTCATTTCAGTCTTTGGCTGTCTCCGGCATATGCTAGCAATCTGTGAAAGGTCCATTAGAATTCATTAAGGGTTCCAGTTGTACGACTCTGTCTTTCAGGTACATGATTGATGGCTGAAACCAGAAAATCTCTGTGAGTCATGAATGAGAATACGGTGTGGTCGTTCCAGTCAGAGAAAAAAAAAGTTTGCATTTCAAGAGGAGGCTAAACACAAGATGATAAAGTATCGAAAAAAACTGCAGACAGGGCACAGACACATAATTTACACACCATGGGGTGAGCACCAAAAACTGAGGAAAAAAAAGCATTTTTTAAAGTCTCTTAAAAGTATAAATATCTTGAGTAAAAGATATATGACTAAAAGATAACATTGAAACTTAACTAAAAACAAACTGAAGTTATTTACCGACTAATTTGAGGTTGTAAAAAATAAAATAAACACAGTGAAAGTGTAAGAATACAATCACTGCTACTCAAAAATGTTTGCCAAGCACAAAACCAAACACCATTTCTTTATTTAGGCTATACTGGCCTCATGACGCAGTCTGTTCGTACTCAGCGTGCTTTTCCCTTCTGGTTTGTAATGTCTGAACTGACTGATGAATACATGCTTATTCCCCCCGATCATGCAGCTGTTAACACCAGCCTCCAAAAGTGGGAAAAGGTTTTGTCCAGTTGACTTTCATTGTTTTATATTTTAGTTTAGACACTTTTAGACATTAGACACTTATTTAGTTTATGACAAGCACACACAGTGGTTTGTTGATGGTGCACTTTCACTCACGGGCTTCATCATAGCAATAAGCTTTTGTAAGGTGTCTGGTAACCCAACAACGCTGAGTTGTTGGTTTACCAGAGAAATGTAGAGCTTCCTGCATCTCTAAAGCGGTTTGCTGGGGGCAGGCAGGAAGCCCTAAAGCTCCCTTGACAACCGTATGTTGGCTCGTTAGTCCCGCCCACCTGATACCCGAAACCTACCGGAGACCGGGCAAATGTGATTGGTTATTCTCCTTTCACTTACAGCAACAGGGACCAATCAAAAACACATCCGTAGATTCCTATAATTTATGTCATTTGAAAGCTTTTTGAAACATTTCTATTTTCTGAAGTGACTTCACTATTCATTTTTTCAATTATGATGACTAAAAAAACCCAAAAAAACACTACTTAATAAACACAAGGAAATTATAAATTTCAAAATGCAAAATGCTCAAAATGCAGTTGAAAAAAAAAAAACTGAGAATAAACGGAGATGTCAAAGCGGGGGGACTAGACTTTCCATCTATAACTACACACACATATTCAGTCGACAAGACGACTGACAGGAATAAAACGTCTCACCTGCTTTCTCCAAGTTTAGAATTAGCCCCAGCAGGCACCAACACGACAACAGCTGTCCAGCGAGTCCCCTCCGCGTCCCGGACATTTTTATTTGCCTCTTTCCGGCAGCTATTAAGGGGGGCAGGATATTTGGAGACGAGCAGAAGTTTGCTAAGGCAAGAAGGTACGCTTCAGGAACGCAGGGGGGGGAAGTCAGCGGTGTGAGGTAGACGAGTGCCGGCAAAATGTTACTACTAATGTCGCATTTGAACGTCATTTAAGTGGTTGTTAGGGAGGCGGAGTCAGAGCAGTGGTGTGATGTTTGAAATTGGACGTGAGGCTAGCGAAGGGGGAGGAGCCACGGGACTGCTGCATCACTCTCCTCCTCCATCATCACCGAGTCGAACCCACTTCCTCCCAAACCAGAATGCTTTATTATGCTGCAAGTGCGTGTGTGTGCGCCCGTGTATTTAAATATAACTCAAAGAACCCTACCTTTGTAATTAGTCTGGTCAAATTGGTCTCAATTACCAGATATAACAGTGACAACAAGATTGATATAATGCAGTCTGCCAGAAAATGCACCAGTTTATCTGATAATGAGTTTGATAATGAATTTAATAATGAATTTTAATAATAACGAATTACTTATTTTTCACCGTGCTTACTAAAAAAATAACTTTAGGGAAAACAAAAATAACAATAGCTTGTTATCTTTCTTGCTAGCTAGATAGCTGCTATCTAGGTAGCTAGATATTCAAATGATCTCCTATTGCAGGAGTATGTTCAGTACCATTGTTCCCATTTTTTAGATCAGCTTATGTATTTCATAAGGACTTTGATAGCTCAAACTGATGAACTGACAGTTCACCACAACTGTCAATGCTCTGCTTCAGTGGAATAAACGAGTGCTGAACTAGACCCACGTTCATGGTTTCTGTTCTAAACTAAAAGAAAACAATGTTTTGCAATGCAAATTATCCCCATTATCAGCCATGCAAAATCAATCTCCAAACACACTCCAGAAAGAACCACAATTTAATAATATATTTTCTGTCTCTGTGGGCCAGCTGCCTTAAGGCCCAAAATTATAAATTTTTCCATGAAATTTACATTGGTTGGGAGAATCCATACTGCCACTTTTACTTTGGCTGATCTAGGTAAATTCATGAAAAGAAAAGGAGAAAATCTAAAGGCACATTTAAAAATTGTCTTGGATTTGAAGAAAAACTAAGATTGCAGTGTTGTATTACTGTCAGTCACTGTGGAGACATTTGTCAATCATGGCCATGATCACACATATGTGATGATTCAGGCAACACTAAAATATTGCTGGCATGAGACGATCGACCGTGTATGTGTAAATCATATTCAAAGGTTTCCACCACATCCCCCTTGGAAGCTGAAAATAGTTATTCAAAATGCCTGGAGAAGTAATAGTAAAAGGTGGTATGTGATGAACCCTCACTCAAACTGGGTTCATGGGAAATCCTACTTCTCCAAAAAGAACCACTAGTATGGAAAAGGGGGGAGTACATCGACTCACTTCTTGTGTAGGTTTAGGTAGAGAAAAAGACATCCAAGGTATTCATGGAATGTGGAAATAGCTGCTAGATTACATACTTTGTTACAATCAGAATCCCAGTGACAACATACTCACAGAACACTGAAAATGAGGTGTGAATGTTAGCATTGTATTTTTTTTGTACCATCACATAAGTAGGATTTGGTAAAACATCAACTTTGACCTTTTGAACAACACTGTGAGTCATATGTGAGTCATTCAAATGTATTCCTCTGTGTGGACTTATGGCTCAAAACTGTAGACATTGTAACGATTACCGCAACTAAAAAGTATAATAATGGCGGATCCTTTCCTCCTTCTTTTACAACAGATATCTTAAGTAGACAATAGACATGAAGAACAAAGTGGCTGGATTAACATCCAGTAGAAAAACTATTTTAATGGAATCTATAAAAGCATTCAAATATGTGTTTTTGGCAGTAATTCAGTAGAAGGAGACGTTTTCCTTAGAGAAAGCAAACACTTAAGACAGACAAAAAACACAACAGCTCTTAAAATAATGAATAACACCAACATTATTTTAATCTCCGGAATATAAGTGCTACTACATTGCAATGGCAGGTGTAATATGAGCAATATCATACCTTTGTTTGGTTCAAGAGTTAGGTCAGTTCTCTGTTGGAAATTTGAACGGCATCTTGCATTAAATGCTTCTTTTTTTTTTCTTTACATACAACATGCTAATCTTTTTTGTTCAGAACAATGTATTCAGAAATGTTTAGTCCAGATAAAGATAAAGCTTTCTGGATTTCTGGTTCATGCTTTCTGAATGATATCTGTCAAAGATTTCCAATGTATCCTATCCTATCTTGTACGTAAACAAATGTGCTTTGACCTACAATAGAAGCGATCAACACCCTGATAGTCAGTCTGACCCGATTCCCTTCGTTTTGTAATCGAAAAAAAAGTTGCAAAAAAACCCAAAAGAAATAAAATAAAGTAACAACGATTTTATTCAAATGCCTATAAAGACAGATTTAATATTTTTTGGTGCCAATTGACTGGGTTTGTGGTTCAAAAGCATGTCTTATTGCCTTACCATCTACCTTATACATCAGAGGGCCACATTGTAATAATGTGGATAATAAAAAACAATTGAGTGAAAACTTTTCCTGTGTTAACATTCTTTTAAACACTTATCCATACTGAGTCATTCTATAATTAATTTCAATTGCTTTGTGTATGGAGCGTGTTAACTTGTATGTTATGTACATGTAAAACATTTTGTTCTTGCAGTATAGAAAATATAGAATATTCTTCACTCAAAGGAGATCAACAAACAGTAAAACACAAAACAAGAGGTTATGTGTGTGAATCCGTGTTAGTTACAATCAAATTCATCTTAACACAAAGACGAGCTATGCTGAACTTAAGCAACCAATGAAACTGTATCAGCCTTTGAGACAGTATCACACACTTCTTGATACTAAATCAGACTTAGTGAGACACATACTTACTCACTGTACAGTATGTACTCATGGAAATCACACAGTGTGTAGGCACCTACAAATCTGAGAAGTATGCTCATGCAGATGCCTGAAGAGCAGTTGCGATGATAGCGATATGGCGGTAATGATAGAAGTTTCAGTCTAACAAGTTTTGAAAACATTAAAGACAACACATCAGAGATCTGCCAAGAGACACACACCACAAGAGTTCTTATAGGCAGAACGTCTGACAGTGATTTAAGTATGTCTCTTTACATTAGTATTGCAAATATGTGTATGTGTAAGGAGAGACTACATAAGACTAAAGAAGTGTAACATCTCCACCGTCTGAATTTACTTCCTGGATAACATAGTTTACACATGTGACAGGCTTCAGTCTTCAGACTGCTCACTGATGAAATACAGACAATGAATGACTTCTATTTTTCACCTATGAAACCTTTATAGATAAATAAAAGGAACTGTATTTAGAAGTCGGGCGGCATGGTGGTGTGGTGGTTTGTCCTGTTGCCGTGGCAAGAGGGTTCTCGATTCAAGTCCCGGGGGACGCAGACCTTTCTGTGTGGGTTTGCATGATTTCTGTGTTTGAATGGGTTCTCTCCAGCTTCCTCTCACCATCCAAGTTAGGAAAATTGAAGACTCCAAATATCCCCTATGAGTGTGTGTGGTTGTTTGTCTCTGTGTAGCCCTGTGATGGACTCTCACCTGTAGTCAGGCAGGATAGGCTCCAGCCCCCATGCCACCCCGTTGGAATAAACGGTATAGAAAAAGGATGGATGAATGGAACCAAGACCTCCTCCTAGTGGTGAAATAAGGCATAAAATAACTTAGGCCTAAGTTCTAAGGTTAGGTTGGCTTTCAAAGCTTTCCTTATTATATGGCTGGCATAAATCTGAAAGATAATCTACAGTCAGGATTCCTCCTCTTAATTTGCGTGTAAAAAACAAAAAAAAACACACCGGCTGCAATTTTCTTTGTCATGAATGATGAATAATGATAACAAAACAGTTTCCAGACTAAATCAGGATGATCTTTTCTCGTCATCCAATTAAAAGGTTCTTTCCAAATTCTAAATTCTGATATACATGCAAAGCACTAGAAGCAATCTATAATTAAACCCAAATACACTGCAATCAGTCTCATCGCACATCAATAATTTATTATTTCTTTCAGAGTTCAAGCGACATTGACACATCACAATAAAAACAGATCTAGTTAATTTGTTGACTGCAACATGGATGCTTTGGTTTCCTCTGGTTACCTACTGTCATGAGAAAAGTACAGTACTGAAGTCGCAAGCTGTACATACGTGCATTGACACGATACTCTAAAAAGTTTCTTCACAGTATATCCAACACAATTCAGCCGTGAGGCAGTCACAAGCAGAAAGGAGCTGCTGTCCCTCTGGTCCTTTGTCTTAATAGTGAAAACATTTAAAAATTGCAGAAAAAAAGACGAGACAGCTCTGGAAATCACCACGAAACAACTAAAGACGAAGCAGTTAAAAGCAACAGTGTCCACTGATGAATTTCCAACTTAAGATTCTTCAAGCTTACAATTGTTTGATAAGCACTTTATGCAGGAGGTGTAATCGGCAAGCAGCAGCAGGGTGAAGCGGGTTGTTTTCAGCGCTGCACCCTATGTACAGTGTTGGAGAGTGCTCTAATATTAGCTCCATTCAACCTCAGTCAGAGTGTTGCTGTGAGTTGCTTAACAGCTTTGGAGAAGTTTGTTAACACCCAGTGCCCACAGAGGGAAGGACTTCTGAGCCATGGCCAAAAACAACACAACATACTCACAACTTTGCAGTCATAGTAGCTCCAGTGTGGGCATTTCTGCTACAAAAACACTGCTACATTGGAGCAGAGGCCAAGCATCAGGTTTGTTTACATCCAGATGTGATGTGAGATGAGAGAGCAGCTTCACATGGGGTGAAATCACAGCTCAGTCTGTAAAAGGTTGTCTATCCAAATCCAAAGTTTGCTGCCTCATTGCACTGATTTCGTGCCAGTTCTTACTCCTCATTTTGATCAAATGCTAATTTTAACTTAACGTGTATTAAAACAAAAGAAAAGCCTCAGAGGGAATAAAACAGCATCAGTTAACAGCATCACAGGTAAGTTACATTTACCCCTGTTGAAGAATAACCAATTTTATTTTAGGGACAATGTTTTGCTTCAAACTCCCAAATTAACCATTCATGAAACCAACCTGAACACAATATAATGCGGCTGCCTATATTTCACAATACCAATATTTCACAAAGAAATGTGACTCATCCCATGGGCAAAGGTGTGTACTCATGATGCCGAGTATTAAGAGTCTACATATAACAATACAGTAAAATAGACCTGTGATACCAACCATACAGTTTCCTGGAAAAGTTAGAGTTACTGATATAACCCTATTATAATAAACCAACTAAATATCATCATAACTGTTTCCAACTACATCAAATGGTCTTAAAGGTTATTCATTAACTGTTCTAATGCAGCTGAGGACAACGAAATAAGAGTAATTTGATAAAGAATTCACCACTTTAGATTCTGTCACACTTTCATCTTTTTAAAACTGGGATTCCACATGTGAAGAAGAAGAAGAAGAAGGAAAAAAACAGGCACCACAACAACTTTGTCTACCTTATAATAGGGAATCATCCTTGCCTTCAGGACTTTTGGAGTGTTCTCTTTTTCTGAGTGAGTCCCCCTTTAAAATAATGTTAAAGATGTGCACTTGATTATATTAAGAGAAATAAGGAATTTGGCTTCAGTGTGTGTAATTAAAAACGTTTCTTTCCGTATAATCTGATGATGAGCCTGTTTATTGGTCAGTACGCTCCTCTTCCTCTGTTATCTGTGTTCCTTCCTCCAGGCTGAATATGGAAGCATGATCCTTCTCACTTTCTGAATGATGGCAAAGATCATTGAGGAATATATTTGAAACATTTGTGCAAATAACCTGGGTTTGGCCCTGCCCAGAACAGATGTGACCGGCTTAAATAGGGTCCAGCCTTCCGAGACTGTTACCGTAGCAGACATAATGGTGGACCAACTTCTTCCATATCTCTTAACAACATTTGACTGAGGGTGGATGGAGTTACCTTGACACATATGTGAAAACTGTAACTGTGGTGCTTATCGTGTTGGAATTTCCCTTTTTCTTCCTTCTTTTCGTCCGACACAAAGTTTAAGACTCCTCATCAGTGCCACTAGGGGAGCGCTCCTGAAAAACAAGAAGTCATGACAATTCTTTTAGAAACACCTATCTTGATTTGAGGTATTGTGCAAAACCAAGTATTTGCTGAAGCTTTCTCCTTAAATTTACATAACTTGTCTTTTTCTTTCATTTCTCCTCCCAGTCCTAGGGGTCAGAGTCATGCGCATGCATACAAACAGGCCGAGCTACCTCTTCCTGCTCGTCTTCAGAGTCATCGTCACTGACGACAGGCTTTGCCCGGGTGCGGCCTGTTCGCCTGTTTCGCCCCTTCCCCCGATCGCCACCTTTGTCCTTTCTGCCAAGACGGATCTTCACTTTCACCGAGCGCGCTGAGCACAAACACACAGAAACCATTCTTACAGTGTAAATACGTTGCCACACAGAATTTCGAACCTCTGTGGTGAGTCGCGTTTCTCCGTCTTTTCACAAACGTCCTTACACTCTGACTCTGATCCTTCCTCCAGCTCGTCGTCCTCTTCCTCACTATCCTCTCCTTCGCTTTCCTCCTCCTTCTCGATCTTCTGCCTCAAGCTGGTGAACACCGACTGGAGCACAATGGAGTCCTCATATATCTGTTCAGATGAAGAAAAAAAGCTTCTCATTGGAATCAGAACAGTATTCAGCAGTAAGCGTTGTCACCCCTTGCATGTATTCTAAAGTTTGGTATCCACAATTATGATTCGTTATGAAATCCTTGTCAGGATGGTTCACATTTTGTAGTTATAGTCTTTTAGCTGTAAAATTCAAGGAGTCCTGACCTTTCAATTTGTTTATGGATAAATCGTGTTTATTTCAGAGCTTTAAAATCTTTTATAGTGAAAAAGATGTATTGTAATTCAATGTATTTTGAAGGAAACAAAAATAGAGCAGCAACAAAATAGATTTTATTTCTTCATGAGTAGACATTGCACAAAATAATCTGTCTTTTCACCAGTGATCCTTCCAGATTGAAGGTCTGAGCATTCTGGAAAAGCAGCATGACGTCTCTTTCCAGGTCACCCAGACCGCGGTAGCGGTGACTTCGAATCCTCTCCTACACAGACGATACAGTTCAGGCAACACACAATAGATATTAACATTTGGTAAATTAACATATTCAGTGTTTAATTATCTTTTAGACTACTGAATATAATTTAAATATAAACTTAAACCTGTTTAAAACTAAAAATATTTTGAAACAACAATATCTGAAACAACTAAAGATTCCTTTTTCACACATATGGTAATAACCTGGGAAAGTATTCCAGAGAAACAGCTAAAAACTTGCTTTGGGTTAAACTTTTGTGTGATCAGTCTTTCAATCTATTAAATTTCATATATACTGTTGGTTCCTCCATCAGTTCAAGCCCTCCAGGTGTTTGTGGATGTTTGCAGGCCTCAGTAATGGCCTCTTAGCAGCTATTTCTCCCTTTCAGCCTTCTTCCATTAGTTGTCTGCTCATGGTCATCGTTGAGACTTTCTCCAAACACTGATCTAGAAACATAAATCTCTGCCATGAGGATCAGCAGTGGTGTTCCCTCTGTCTCCGGTACTTCAAACTTTGAGGTGTCTGAAATCTGCATCAGTTAACTTTATTCTCATTGTGGAAATACTTCTCTCTGAAACACACTCCAAAGCATAGTGAACACACTGAGAACACTGTGTATCTTTTGTTGTGTCTCAAAGGTTATCCAGCATCATGAAGTGCTTATATTTTGAGTCTTTAATTTGCAGTGACCTTTCAATGGTTTATTATTTGAAATAATTAGGATTTCAAACCCAAATTCCCTTTCTCCAAGAAGTCAGAAATGTATCAAGCATTCATTGATCCTGATTGTACTAATCCTTAGAACTTAAGGAAATAAAACTTGACTTTTTTTAAAATCTTTTTTTCAGCTCCGAAGAATCCTTTCAAGTGAAAGGTGAAACATCTTCAAGATACAAACACAAGTTCACTTTGTCTCTACGTTCTAAAACTCCTGTCTTCCAACCAGTAAAACATTTCTGTACATAAAGGCAAATAAATATATGTATAATTTTGCATCTTAATCTAAATTCAACATGTGTTCTTTCATTTTTCACTTTCGCGTTTTGCTTTATGGATATCAATACCTTAATCTTTCTAAAGTCCACGGGCTTGCGGATGAGTTCGTAGTACTCTGGAAGCTCTTTTCGAGAAGGCAGTTGGATAAACACCTCGCTTAGCTGGCGTCCACTGGCACTGCAGGAGATGACATCATCATTCGATTATAGACACTAAACGGCAATCCACCTAATCAAATTTCCATTAACTACAGGAAATGCCTGTTGGCCACAGCCGTAAGGCCATGCTTGCAAATTTGTTTTTATGACAAGGAAACTCTAATATGAGGCGGAAATGGAAAAAAGTCCTCATATCGTAGCACAGATGAATGTCTTATTTTGTTTCCTATTGTCAATATTGATCCTTATTTACAGCAGTTGTGGGCGCTATCAGTAACTGTAGCCATGCATTGCATAATGACAGTAGAGGCCCTCTATAATAATAGCAACAAATATTTAGAGAGTTCCAACAATTTGGTATAACAATGTATACTTTCCTTTATTATGCTAGTTAAAGAAAAAGCAATTATTATATTATGATCTATTTTAGTATATTGGCTATAATATGTATCATTAGCATCTCCATCATAATTTTTTACCTGTGGCAGGTATAACAGAAGTTATCAGGCACCTACAAACCAGTGCACGAGTGCAAGCCTGGTTTTATACTGGAAGTGTAAGGGCTCCCTTTTTGCTTTGCTGTTGACAGCCAATGGTCATATATTTCACTTTAGAATGGTGCATTGTTTACAGTTTTACATTATTAGGATGAGCTTTTTTTGGTATTCTTTCTCTATCAAAAGTATCTAAATAAGTCGCTTTTCTATTGCTAATGTCAATTTTTGTCAGAAGAAGCCCACAAAGTACCTTTTCTTTCATCATAGCCTTAAAAGATGTAATGAAAACACAGAAGAACTGACTAAGAGAGAAGACTTTTTGGAGGATCTATGTGTCACAGGAATTTAGGCCAAACGTCTGAATGCTAATTATAATTACAGTATATAGTAAGATTTGAGATCTGACTCATAGTGAGACTACCTGAAAAGGGGATTAGTGCCAACAGTTTGTGGTTCAACTGCAGATGAGGGGAAAAAAGGAACTTAAAAGTGATGGCACAACTTGATGAGTGGAGTAAAGCTAGTTGCTTCTTCACCTAAAAAGAAGCAAGTCAGAACAGAGGAAAAATTTATGGATGGAAAAAGGAGCTGTCTGTGTGGTATTTTGACCAAAGCATGTCACATCTGTCTTTGAATTTGGTCACTAGTTAATTTGCCCCCTTTGAGCTGGTCTGAAATAGTATAACACCCTATTTAACACGTTACCTTGAATCTTTAGCCGTTTTTTGATGTCCTTATGAATTGGTTTAGGGTTTAGGCATTAGTCATGGACTACCAGACTTGTCATATATGTTACATTGCTAACGCAAAGCGTCTCAGAGTAAATGTGCCTTCATCGTAAAACAAACCAGCCTCTGGGGAAAGAGCGTTTATTCTCTGTCACCATCCACAACTAGAGCTCTTTTCGATTACCTGTCTTTGTACTTAATGACAGCGTCCACAATTTTCTTCATCTTTTTTGTGAGGGCCGGAGGATTGGGGGAGAGTTTCTCAACTGGGGGTCGCCCCCTCTTCCTCTGCCTCTTTCCATCATCGTCTTTGTCCCCTCGCCCACGGCTGCCAGAGGAAGAGGAGGGACCAGGGAGATCCAGGTCGCGGTCCCTTTTCCTCTTACGGGTTGTCTTTTTGTGGCGTACTTCCTCCTCCATCTCCTCGAGCGTGCCCTCCTCGATTGCCTGCGAAGGGGGACGGGACTGTCGGCTTAGAATATGTATGTGTACCGAAATCTGCGATCAGTTTCTAAGCTCTGCCAAAAAACAACCTTGAGCCACTGTTTCTCGGTCAGTGAGTCGCTGTAGTCCACCTCCTTTCGCTGCCGAGATCCTCGTCCAAACATTTTTTCCTCCTCTTCCTCGCAGGTGAGCCGCTCCACCTCGGCGTCGTCCTTCATGATCCAGGTGGGGAGTTCGTCCTCCTCCATCAGACGAGGTTTTCGCCGGGGGTTGCGAGCTTCCTCGCGACGCCGGTCCAGGTCCATGCGCTAGGAGAAGATTGAAGGGCGAAGAAAAAGAGATGAAAAGAAACAAAGGCGGAGGGAGGATAGCTATCAAAACAAATAATTTACCATAAACTGGTCAAACTCTTCCTCGCTCCTGGCAATCATCTGGTTGACCGTCTCGTCATCTGGCACCTCATCTTCCTCCTGAACACAGCAGATGCACATTGGCAAGCAGAGCCTATAAGAGAACGCTCTTAAAATGCTGTGTTGCTGGTGCACGAACACACATTCATGCGTAGGCACACTTCTTGCCCCCAGACCTCGTCTTGTTCCTCATGCTCCAGGATTGCTTGCAGGAAGGCCCTGCGCTCGTGGCTAGAAGATTTCTGGTCAAACATGCCAGCCTGGATAACTTTCTGGTCCACGTTGAGTTTGTATTTAGCTGCTGCCAGGATTTTCTCCTCCACACTATTGACGGTGCAAAGGCGCAACACTCGCACCTCGTTCTGTTGCCCAATGCGGTGGGCTCTGTCCTGGGCTTGCAGGTCCTGGGGAGGAGAGCAGGATGGATGGCAAACATACCTTAACGAATGTGACGTCACAGGTTGGTTTGTTTCGACACCACACTGCGGGGGAGACTCAACCTAAGTTGGGTGAGGGCCACATCTGGAAAATACGTATTCTGGATCATCCTTAACAGCATAACTGGAAACCTTTTCAATTGTGCAGACCAATTCTGGAGAAATTCATAAACACAAACTCTTATTGACAAGTTTGAATAATAAAAATGAACATGTTTCTTATCTTTTAGTGTACATGCTATTTAAAGTACGTTGATTTCATTACCACAAATAGATAGCTTCACATAGAAAAATTATAAAAGGTTGGAATGGTTCAGATATTCAGATATATAAAAGCACATAAACAGCTTTTTCTGAAAAATTCTGAACCAGTTTATGGCACATTTATGCAATCAAATGCCCAAACATCATGCATCACACACAGTCTATTGTCTTGTTAATGTGACCTAATGCATCTCATTTCCTCTCAGAGGCAACATGCATGATATAAAATATCAGTACCAGAGTCTTTTTCACATCTGGTTCTGAATTCATTACTGAAAACTTTGCCTCACGCTTGTAGCTGGATCTGAACATCATTCAAATGTATAGCAAGTCGTACAGAGTTCGGATAGTGATGAACAGAGTGTGTCTAAAACTCACACGGACTTCACCCTCTGAACTTGGCCCTCAGGACATCGCTGGTCTGCCTCTGGACCAGTTCTGCCCTCATTGACAGCAGGCGCCGCATTTGTTTTTGCTTTCGGTGACAGCAACGGCAAACAGTTTGCGTGCAAACAGCAGCAGCTGCTGAAGGTTTCGATCTATCTTATGTTTTCTGACTTTTCAACAATGCTTCATTTTGCGAAAGCAGTCCCTTTGATCCCTATGATCAGCACAAAAACGCTCAAGGTTGTTTGAAAAAGCTCACTTTTTAGAAGGCCGCTCCCACATTTACATTCCCACCTTGGAGCTGCAGGTTAAGATGGTTCAACTGGCAATTGGAAAAAAAAATTAGGCGATTTTTACGTTCATTGCAAAGGAGTGAAATAGAACTTTACCCCTCGGTAAGCCATCTGACATCACTGTGCTGAAGGAGGTGCATTATTGAGCATTTTGCTCCTGAAGCAACTATAGCAAAGGCTGTGGGCCAACTATCAGCCAATCATGGGCCTAATGGCAATGAGATGTTTAAGCTGCCATAAAGGAGGGGCCTGACAGGACAGTGTTTATACACAAACCAATTATAGGATCAGAACTTTCAATTTTAGCATAAAATCCACTTCTTTTTTCTATAAAGAATTCTGATTTCTCTTAGTTTATAAAAACAACTAAAAATATCTTATGAACATGTAATAATAATTTGTCATTTTCAGAATTTAAAAGCATTCTGATGACTAAAAACTAGCCACAACGTGGATCCTAGCCCACAGCATATAATGTTTGTATATAGAATTATTCTCTGGAGAACTCTTCATCTTCCCTCTTTTTTTCGTTTCTTCATCTTGTAGCAGATGAGTTAGGGTGAAAGGTGGCTTTGACATTTGAAGCCTGTGTAAATGAAAAAGAGTGAACATCACACCTGGTGAGGGTTCCAGTCAGAGTCAAAAATAACCACGGTGTCAGCAGACTGCAGGTTGAGCCCGAGGCCTCCGGCTCTTGTGCTCAGAAGAAAGATAAAATACTCTGACTCCGGGTCATTGAACGTCTTCAGTAACATTCCTCTGTCTTCAGCCTTAGTGGTGCCTTTCATTGAGGGAAAGCGGGAAAAGAGAATTTGAGTTAGAAATAAAGGAGACAATCCTAGATGAACACCCAAGGCACACAGATGCTTTACCATCGAGACGCAGGTACTTGAAGCTACGGTAGGCAAAGTAGTCCTCCATGATGGTCATGAGAGACGTCATCTGACAAAACAGCAGCACTTTGTGGTTTGTGGCTCTCAGCTTTGGCAGGATTCGATCCAACACTTCAAACTTGCCCGATGCCCGATAGAGGTCAGGACTGTGAAACAGACGGGTTTTCATGTTCAAAAGGGAGGCGGTTTGGGTGTGTGATTCTAATGTAACGATCAGCAGGTACTCACCCCTGTACTATCCCGCCAGAGAATCCTAAATGTTCAGAGAATGATTCCTGCAAATAAAATCCAAAATCTATTCTAGTCAGCTTTAAGATATAAGAAAAAAAAGCCTTCACCTTCTGACAACACTTGTCTAACATTAGAAAACGTCCTCGTAGGACAGCGCTTGAAGGCAGCTACTGAAAAATAACTGAACACAATGGCAGAGAGGTGTGCTAATTGTAGCTGTTTGCATTACCTCAATCTGCTGGAACATGTACGGATGGTTGCAGATCTTCCTCAGCTGCATGATGGTGTTCATCAGTGTCTTTGTGCCTCCTTTACCCTGGTTAAAGGATAAAAAAGAGTAAGATGAAAACAACAGATTGGCATAGTGTGTGAAACCTGTCCTTTATTTACTTGGTTGTTTAATGAGAGCTATCCACTCTGCTCTGAAAGCAGAATTGATCAGCATGTGTTTTAGTTTACTAAAAGGAACTTGAACAATATGAGATAGTTTTTAATAATAATGTATGAATATTCGCAGCTAAATGTGTAGAACAAGCAGAGAGCCTAAACCGTCAGTGTTTACTTGTTAAAGACTTCACCTTCTTGTCTTTCTCAGATCCATCAGTGAGCAGGACCCCCTTGGCCTGCATATGCCTGTACAGGACCCTCTGAAGAGATGACATGTCACACTTGATGACATATTCCACCTGATGACAGATAATAAAGACAAAAACATGGTATTTGTAAGTAAAATGGTCAAACATCAAACTGAAACTTTGTGAAACTACGTCGAATTATCATTAGCAGTATCAAAAACTCAAATATTTGAACTTTGATGGATAACTTTCAGAGCAAATATTTTGTGTAATCAATCCAATTGAACTCTGAAAGTCACACAGAGCTATATGTTGTCAGTTTCAATCTTATTTGCTTAAAAATAAAACCTGTGCAAACTCTTAAAGGTATTTCTGCAAATAGGCTTGTAACTGGATTAGACTTTGTAAAGCGTTCTCTTAAATGTTTTCATTTCATTTTATGCCTATCAGCTGTAATTTCAACCTCAACCAAAGCTTTTCTACGTACAGGTAAGTATTAAATTAAACGATCTATTATCAATTAAATCCTATCTCTAGCAGAAGTGATGACATACCCACAACCAAATGACACAGTCTCGGATGACAGTTTTGCTTTCTTTTAAAAACCAGCACTGATTTCATTTTTAAATGCAGAGAAAAGCCAGAGGTGCTCATATGGACGGCTTGTTTTTCTTGTGCATGCATGTCTGGATGAAACATGTCTTGCCTTCTCTGGAAGCTGTGCCTCCACTTCTTTCTTTAATCTTCGTAGCAGGAAGGGGCGTAGCACTTTGTGAAGACGACGAATAATCAATATAGTTTCCTCTTCATTGAGATCCACCTGGAGGAGAAGGTGGAGAAATCTCTATGGAATGCTTTCTAAGGGAGATGTTTGAAATGTGTTTCTCTGAATTTTTTTCACACCTTCTCTCCAGTCATAGCAAATGGAGCGTTGAACCACTGCTCAAATGTGCTGCAGCTCTTGAAAATGGTGGGCAAAAGGAAGTTTAGAAGCGCCCATAGCTCAGGTAGTTTGTTCTGCAGTGGAGTTCCTGTCAGCAAAACTCGCCTTGGAGCAAGGTAGTGAGTGTTCAGGACTTGGGTCAATTTGCAGTGGTGGTTCTTCATACGGTGGCCTTCGTCCACAATCATGTACTTCCAGCGGATCTGGAGGAGGGGGAGGAGAAAAGAAAAGTACATTTCAATAATGCGCCAAGGACGATGTCGTGCTTCACTGTTTACGTCCAACCAAGCCAACCAAAAACAGAATGTGCTTAAAGGACGATTTCTTTTCCACTTTTGTCCCCATGATTCAAGCTGGCTAAATCCAAAGCCAGAACTCTTGCCTGACCCACCTGTCAGTATTGTCAGCAACCCTATAAGACAACATGAGAGCATAGCAGCATGATGGTCACAGAGGACAGTGGTAGACGTGGTTTTCAATGTGTTGCAGAACCTAGGAGAAAGGACTGAGATGCAGCACAAGCGGGGGGTCAGATTGGCCAAACTCAAACACTTTTTCAGAGGATTGGGGGATTTTGGAGCCATCAAACAAAACAACCTAAAACCTCAAGCAAAAATCAAAAGATTAACAAATAAAAACATGAACATTTGGATGCACATGTGGAGGAAAGGAGTTATACTACCACTGCAATGCTGTGTTTTTGTGGGTGTCAGCCCTCTTACCTTGGCCAGCACTTGTTTGTCCTTAATGATGTATTCGTAAGTGGTGAGTAAAACATTAAACTTGCCACTACGCAGTTGCGGGACAAAAGCCCTTCTGGCTGCAGGAGACCCCTAAAAAGCAAAACAATGCAAAAAAAGTGCAAAAAAATGTTCTGATAATGCTCAAGAAGAAATAATAATACAACAGGCCTGCGTACAAAAACATACCTTGTAGGACACTTTCACAACTGATGGTGCCCATTTGTCAAACTCATACACCCAGTTAGACAGAGTTCTGTCAAAAAGGTACAATTTGGTTTGAATTGAACCAAATTCAATTTTCCTCATTTAGTGGTGTTAGTTCACACAAATGTGTATTAGATTTGTCAGTTTAAAGGAAACAACTCTTACGAAAGGGGCACAATGATGAGGTAGGGTCCATTGAGCCGTTTGTGCTCCATGAGGTATGTGATGAGAGCGATAGTCTGGATGGTTTTTCCCAAGCCCATCTCGTCAGCAAGGATCCCGTTCAGGTTGTTATTGTAAAGAGAAACCAGCCACTCCAGACCTTTAATCTGCAACACAAACAACGCAGTTGAGATCTTGAAAGAAGTTCTCTGGAAAGAACAAATATGCCGAACACTCCCATAGCATGTTAAAACAAGGAAAAGTGACATTTTTGTTGGCTTTTTTTTTTGGCACATTTTACCTGATACTGTTTCAGCTGTCCATTTATCAGTAAAGTAGACTGTTTCTCCACTTTCTCTGTGACAGCGTGAGCCACAGAGTAATATGACTGGAGCCCCCGAGCGAAAGCTGCCCCGCTATACTCGTCATCCACATCCTGTTTAGCATTCCTGGGTGTAATGCATAAAAGGTCTGTTTTAAATCTAATTCATTTGATTAAAAGTAACCCAGGTGTAATACAGTCTCAGCATTCTGTGCTTGAACTTACTCGATGATGTGTCGGACATCCACCTCTGACACATCTTCACTGTCAGGGTCTGTTATCTTTTTCTTTTCCTCTACTGGAGCTGTCGAAGGCTGATGCTCCTCTTCTTCCTCCTGACACACAGTTTGTCAGTTAAAGGTTGCTTCACCATTAAATAAAGCAGACACTATTAAGATAGCCACAAATGTGCTTCTCTTAACAACCAACCTCCTCCTCTTCCTCCTCTTCACTGTCTTCACTGTCAGAGCGTGGCGCCACCTCATAACTTGGCAGAAACATGTATGAATACTTTGTGTTGTTTTCGAGTATCCATTAATTAACTCCCCCAGTGTTGTTTCATTTATGCCATAAAACTTAAAGCTTAAAACATTTAGCAAGTGGGGTAGAATATCACAGTGAGACCTTGTGTTGGAAACAAAGGAACAACTATGCTATCAATGCCCAGACCTTACCACTAATCTGTAGCACAAGTGATGGTTAATCAGTCTACCTTCTGTTTTTGCTGTAGTTTGGTTAATAAAAGGCTTATATTAGTTTGCTAATATATTTTTTTAGATGCCATTTCAGGGTTATAATTTACATTTAATGTTCCATTTATGAACACATTAATGTAAAGTTGACTAGTAAGATGCATAGCAAGATTTTTCTCTGCAAACTAGGCTAGGACATCCCTACACAATTATTTTTACATGTTTAAGTACAGTAAGTACAAACCTATAACTCCTACAATCTTACACATGCTTAGAGATTCTTTGTTTTTTATTTTTTATTTACCAAATTAAAATGTTTTCCTACATAAACAAAAATACAAATAAAAGGAAATGAAATGTGAATTGAAATGCAACGACGTACTGATAGAACTCTAGCTAAAACCTGTTATTGGATTTTTATGTACCTACCATACTTAATATGTCAGGCATTGTTCATATTTAGCACATAAACATTTACATAAATATTGATTTATGTTTTTTTTAAGGTTATGTTAAGAAATAGTTTTTAAAATAGTTAGCATGTAATCTAGCTTGTAAGTTAAAAATAGTTAGCATAAAGGTAATATCTTAGGTAACCTATCATCCATACAAAAGTCACATTACACGTGTTAAAATTGTTAGAAAATGTAACCGTGGAAAATAAATATTAGGTTAGCGTCTGTTAGTGTGTTCACCCTTTACTCAATTAATGCTTATGCCACTTACCCAGGGTTCATCTCCAACCAAGTCTCCAGTTGCCCAGCTTTAGGAGCATCCACACCTGTCAGAATATTTCCACTGTCCACATGGATGACCTTTACAGGCAGGTCGCTCATCTGACTAGTCTCATCCAGAGGCTACAGCAAGAGGAGGCAAGTTTAGTTCCGGAGTCGGCTACATCCTTCATTTAAAACTATGCTGGTGTACGACATCGAGAGATTTCTGTCATGAGATAATTCGGCAAACCATGGAGGAGGCAGTACACGTGTTTAGTTGCAAGTTCTGGCTGATACACCATTTAAATGTTTATCCAAGTGTCCGAGCTTGGCACACTGCTTGTATGTATAGTACTGGTGCAGATCTACTCTGCACTTGTAAACTGAAAACATTAATAGGGGCAGTTATGTGAGAAGTAAGGAATTACCCCCTTTCCATTTTCCAAAACTTCAGGCCTCCTTTACACTTACATGAGGGTTTGATTTAAATACAGATCATGCTTCCTGTATAACCATCTTCTCTTAGACTTGGTCCCTTGTCATAGTAGGAACTACTCTGCTGATTGAGTTTATTTAATAAATACATAGTTATGGTGTTTTCTTTAAAAATAGTAACATCTTTTAAATTAAGTGATCTGTATCTGAAAACACAACATGTACTCGCCTCTCCGTCAGGACCCATGGCAGGAGTCTGACTCTCTGCGTTCTCCAACTGCAGCAGAAGCATAAAAAAACAACTTTGATCACCAATAGATTGAATACAATCAAATAGATACATAGATAGACTACCGCATGGGTCATAAGATTTAGATTTTTCAGTTATGGTGTTAAAGAATGGAAGGAAAAGTGCATTGCTGTTATGAACACCTTCTTCTTTTTCTTCTTTTTCTTTTTCTTCTCTTTGAGGGCTTGTGCAGCTTTGTGGGCTCTGACCAGCTCCGTCAGGTTGGCAACATACTCATCAGTTTGCTGCAGCAGGTAGGCAAGGCGCTTATCTTTCTTTTGGTCAATCAGTTTACGGTAGCCCTCCTCATCCTCTGCCTAAGGAGACATATTAACAGATGTTAATCGGGGGGGTTGTATACTGTCAAATGGTATAAGGTGTATGCAAAGGCATTATAATGTATTCGCACCATAAGTCTCCTCATCCTCTCCTTCTCAATACGCTCATTTTCCTTCTTCTGTTCCCGTTCAGTGTTGGCGTGGTAAGTCGCCACAGCTTTGGTCAGTTTCTGAATTTTGCCCGTGATAGAACGGTGGTACTCCTTGAAGTCTTTGGCATGCTGTAGGATGCTGTTGAGGTACTCCTGAGTTGACACAACAGAAAAAAAGGAACCTAGTTGAACGGCAAAGCAAGTTAAAGTTTCGATTACATCGGAGGTGAATTTTGTCCTCTACCTGATGTTTTTGTCTGCGTTTGCGCTCCTGCTCAATCTTCTGCTGCTTCTCCAGCTTCTCCGTGATGCGGGCCTCTCGCAGAGACTGACGCTTGCTCCGCTTATAGGCCTTGGCGTCAAGGGCTGTCTCCAGAGCGGTGTCACGCCGCATACACACCACCACCTCCTGACGGAGCTGTGGATTGTCGTACACAAATAAACATAAATTGACCACTGATTTCTCTTGTATTGGAAGAGAAACAAGACAGCCCCCCTAAAAAAGCCATATAATGGTCAATGATCCAAAAGGGTACCGAGTTGTTTGAGAAGGAAAATGTTTTGGTGTCTACCTGTCTCTGGAAGTTGAGCAGCCGGAGAGCTTTCAGCTCTATAGTAGCTTTGGTACGTAAGTCACCAGCCAACGAACCTGGCAGGTTCTCCAGTTCAGCAATGCGATGAGTTATGCGAGCTTGTAATCTAAAAAAAAAAAGACACTGTGAAGTCCTTTGTTCTGTCACGTTCATGCTTTACGTTAATTTTTGGTACCTTTTGTTTCTATTAGACTGAAGTTTTTTTCCCCTAAGTACAGTCTGCTTTCTAAAAACTTGCTAAGGTTCCGCATGGGTGGAGTACCTGTACTCCCGCTCCTGCAGGATCTCCACTGGATCGAGGCCGCAGGGTTTCTGAATGGGAGTGATGCGGTTCTGCTTGGCGTGGTAAGGCATCATGGGGGTGGGCTGTGCCGGTTGACCAGGGGACTGGGTCTGGGGGGGCATTACAGGAGAAGCGGCGGGAGGAACTGAAGGGGGAGCAGGTGAGGGCCTGCCGGTGGGTTGAGGGGGGATCAGCTTTTGGGGTGCGTTTGAGGGGGCTGCTGCATTCACCATGGGGCCTGGACGGAAAGGGAGTAAAGGGAAGAAGGAAAACTTAAGCCCATGTATTTACAATTATAACATAATTAAGAATTTGGAGTTTGAGTCTGAGAGCAAAACCAAAAACCTTCAGGCCAGGATTTGGGTGGTCCATTTGGATTTGGTCCCTGCATCCCAACTGGAGTACCAGATGGACCTGGTGGAGGCATGGTGGGCCCCATCATTCCTTAGACAGAGACAGAAGGTTTACGGCTCAGTGGCCCATTTACAGAACAGGAAGTTTTATTTCACACATTCTCCACACACACTCACCATGAGCACGGTTGTAGCCTGATCCCATAGGCCCAGATCCTGGTCCTGGTCCTGCTGGTCCACCTACTGGCCCTCCTCCGGGTCCAGGAACCAGGCTGGGCATGGACTGCTGCTGCAGCCCTGGCATTGGCCTCTTCCCTTGGACAGCCATTTGGAGGTGGTCTGGAAGGGGTTGTCCACGGGCCAGCATCTTATAGGCCATGATCTGGGCTCTCAGTTGGTGAAGCTGGTTCTGGTTGAAAGGTGTTGGGCCACCAGGGCCTCCAGGACCAGCAGGACCGGTAGGGCCAGTACTCTCAAGGCTGGAACCAATGCTTGAGACACTGGGTCCAAGATTAGGTCCAGGACTGGGGCCTGGTCCAGAACTGCTTGGAGGACCAGACCGATTATTAGGACCTAAGGTGTGTTGATCGGTGCTGGGGCCTTCCAAAGGGGCTGAAGCAGAGCCAGGACCAGCGGAGGAGGAGGAGGATGAAGACGATGGCATAAGAGAGCCAGAGGGGGGACCATTTGAAGCAACAGGGCTGGAGTGGTCCGAGCCACCTAAAGGAGAGTGGTACCCTGTAAAGAGGCAATAAGATATAAATATACAGAGACATATTTTCAGAAGGCTTTATAAGTTATCTTATTGCAAAAAAGCTAAACCTTTCACTCATCTGAGTCTTCATAAAAATCCTTCATACAAGTTCGGTTATATACCTCATAATACTAATTATTTGCAATGTATCAATTCTATTTACACTGTATTTATCAAAATATCAAAACCATTTCTGTTCCACTGCCTGAAAGATTTCCAAAAAAAGTAATTGAGTCATTACACAAGCTTGATTAAATCCTCCCTGGCTGCTATTTCCCAAGGTTTTCAGACTGATTCACAGCACTAACCGTTTAAAGCCTGATCCAAGAAAAAATGCAAAAAAATCTGTATTTGGCCTTTTAACAAAATATGAAAAATAAACAAAATATTATTTTAATATTAATAAATTATTACCAAGTGTTAAGTCAAAACTATTGTCATGTAGTCTTCTTCCCGCTGTTATCAGGTATATCTGATTGTGTACAACAGGATTTTGGGCTAAATTTGTACTTGGCCTTTTAACAAAATATGAAAAAATAAACAAAATATTCTTTTAATATTAATAAATTATTACCAAGTGTTAAAACTATTGTCATGTAGTCTTCTTCCCGCTGTTATCAGGTATATCTGATTGTGTACAACAGGATTTTGGGCTAAATTTGTACCATCAAATGATGCAAAAGGTCTCAGATTCAAAATATTTCGGAAACTGTATGTATCAAATATGATACATATGGCATTATAGAATTAAGCCAAACTGACTTTACAGTCTGCCAAGATGTAGATCTCTTTTTTACAGCTCTTACTCTTTTTTACTTTCTGGTTTGAGCTAGAATGGGCTGTAGCTGTGTGTAATTATACAACTTCAAATCTGAATACTGATTTTAAAGTAAAATATAAAGTGAATGAAAAATATTTAACATTCGTGTTGTTGCTTCAGCATGGAATGACACTCCCTGTGAGCCGACATGACCCCACAACTACAGATTAATCGACTTCTTACACAATCCTGAAATCAACAATGTTGCTAAACAGGAATCTGTGTTGCAATTCTTACCTTGTGAGTGTTGGTCCAAAGGACTGGGAGGGGGGCCCATACCACTGTGCCCGCCCTGTCTCATAGACAGTCCTTTCATCTGACTGAAACGGCCCTCCTCACTCAAGCTTTTCTCATGTAAGCTCTCCATTGGCTGCCAGACAGAATATAATGGAAAAATAATCTAATTTAAGAACACAATTAAGTAATAAGTAATACGAGTAATAAGTAAAATAAGTAATGAAACTGTATTATCACAAATGACAGTCAACAAGAGGGCATTACACAACAGTGTTTGAGAAATCAGGGAGAATGGGAGAGGTTAAGCGAGAAGGCATATAAGGAAAAGTCATCACATGACCATCAAGTGTGGAAATGTAATCCACATTACCCAACTTATCTTAAAATGTAGAAACACACAAACCAAAGAAGAAAAGATCTCAGGGTAACAAAGGCCTTTTAGCCAAGATGAGATAGATGTTCCTATGTCAAAAATGGTAAGATAAAATCAACAATTTGCATGATAGATAGATAGATAGATAGATAGATAGATAGATAGATAGATAGAT